TACATCACGGCCGCCGCCGCCACTGCGATGATGCTGCCGCCGATGAAAAGCAGCGGTCCCCAGCGTGCGCGCACCACGTCCGGCACCACACCCGCGCGCCGCCACACGCAGTAGTGCGCGACGATCGGCACGACGGCGACCTTCAGCGAGAAGCACGCCGACACCGACAACACGTCAAGGCGGTAGAGCGCGTAAAGGTACATTAGGCTGAAGAGCAGGTCCTCCGCGGCGAGGAGGCACGCGTGCAGCGCGTTGGCGCGCAGAAACCCAGCGTACATGCCGTCCACGGCGCCCGGGGCCATCGGGTAGCGGAAGCACGCGCCCATCACGAGTGTGACGAGCAGCAGCTCAACCCCAACCGCGACAGTGACCTTGGCGGTGCTGCAGAGGCCGCACTGCAGGCCGTACGCAAGCAGCAGGAAGGCGGTGGCAAAGAGCAGGCTGCCACCGGTCATCAGGGTGTTGCCGTAGATGGACTCACGCGCGCCCATCACCCGCATGCTGTCGATGTTGCACAGCACGTTACCAACCACGAGCAGCAGTGCCCCGCAGGACTCAACGAGGAACACCATCTGCCGCCGCGCAATGCGGAAGAGGAGGATCCACAGACAGTGCATCACCGCCGCCGTGAAGAGCAGCGAGGAGCCAGACTTCTCGTTCGCTAGCACCATCGCCGCAGTCGCGAGAGAGTAGCAGAGTGACGTCACGAGCGTCATGCCGAAGCCCTTTAGGCAGACGCTGCGCGGCTCCATAACAGCAGCGGTGAGTGTGAATGCGCCGTCACGCCACACGCCCCACAGCAACGACACCAGTCCGTACGCCACAGACAGCATGGCGCGGTACGTGTACACCCAGTGCGCAACAGGAACAGTCGCGGTGGTCGTCGCGCCGCCAACGTTGGTGAACCACTCGAGATGCACCTCAAAGATGCTCTCCAGCAGAAAGCCGGTGAGCAGCGCGACCCAGCTGGACCAGTGCTGGCGGAATCGCAGGCCAAGGTACACCTCGTTGTCGACACCGTACACGTACACCTGCGTGACGACGAGGCTGCCGAAGCGGATGCGGCGAGTCGGCCGCGACGACAGCGGCAACGTGGGGCGCGCAATGGAGTCCGTGGAGAGATTGGAGGCGTGAAGCGAGGCGCTGGCACGGGTGCTGGGCGATGACAGGAAGACAATCGACGCTGTCGCGCCCTCTGCGTCGGAAACGTCCTGCAACTGCGGCTCCCGTTCGTGACTGCCTAGTGCCGCGTCGTCCACAGCGAAGCGCAGCAGCTGCGCCCGTTCCGACACCGCCTTCGACAGGTGCTGGCGCAGTTCCATCAAAGCCTTGTTGTCTCGGTCGTCCACGCGCTCGCCGTTGCCGTTATTGCTGTCACTCCTTCTGTAGTTGTGGTGGTCGATGTTGCTGTCAATGTCACCACTATTGTTGTTGTTATTGTTGATGCTCTCGACCACTGCGGCAAGTGGGGAGCGTGGACGCGTGTCAAGTGCCGAGTCGCCGCCGCGGCCGCCCTGCAGTGCGCGTAGCAGGTCCTCCACGTTGACGTGCATCCGCACCGCAATCAGGTCCAGGTTCACCACTCCGTCACCGTCCATCCAGTCTGCCTCCTCCCCCTCACTGCGTTGCGCCTCCGCCTCCCGCTCCTCGCGGCTCCTGGCGTAGAGCGGCTCGCTGGCGATGTGCAGGTGCTGCACGAGTCGCGTGTAAGAAGCGGGGGACGACGACGCCGGCGACACCGACGACAAGTGCGATGACGACTGCAGCAGGGGGACCTGCAGCGCGTCGGCACTCGTGGGCAACGACACACTCGGGGAGGCGCCGTTCCGCATCGCAGTGTCCGCCCGCGCCGCCGATTTCGCGTATGTGGGAACGCAGTCGTTGCAGCACGCCGACGAGTACTACTTTCAGCTGCGCAGACGCAAAGAGAGACCCACTGAAGGAGAGAGTGCATGTTTGTGTGTGTGTGTGTGTACGTGGGGGTGGGAAAGCAATTCGACAGGCGCGGAAGCGAAGGCGTGAGAGAAGGTGCGGGAAGGGGTGGCTGGTGCCACAGAAGCAGTGGAGCTGAGGCAGCACCGCTGCGCCAATTGCGCCCACAGAAACACCCACGAAAGAAGAAATAAAAACAAATAATAATCATAATAATAAAAACGGCAACGACAATGGCCACAACAAGAAGCAGGAAACACAAAACCAAGTGCATGCCTCATCACCTGGTGATGGCAAGAAGGCAAACAATACGAAAAAGAAACACCACACCCTTGCCCTCCTCCAGAGCAATACATACGCATGTGTGTGTGTGTGTG